TTTTTTCACAAAGAATTCAATCATTATAATTTATTTTATTTTTTTGGATACTATTATTGTTTGAAATTTCTTATTGCCTACTTTGATCACATAAATTTTCACATAGATATTCATTTTTACTAAGAAGCTTACATTGCTACAAGAAAATTACAAAAGCAAAATCTTTCTACAAATGTGTTTTGTTTGGTGTAGCTTCTCTACTTGTTTGTTAGCGCTTAGCACTTCTCAATGATGTCTTGTTCTTCTTATAAGCTTAGTTAAATGTTTAGTATTCCAAAACACTTACTAAAGTTGCTACTATGGAGATTGTTCCTACTCATATTTGTATCTTCCTGAAATCAAGCCTCATAAGATACCATTCACGAAAGTGTAATTGAATCCCTATTTTAAAACTTGTTAATTAAATAAATAAAACATATACCTAAAAATATATATATCCTAACTTTTCCTCCCACACACTCCTTTGCCTAAGCTGCTCACGACTCTACAAAAAAAAATGCGGATTCGAGCGCCAAAAAATTCGCCATTCCAGGGCTTTTTTTCATGTTTGGTTGGTTTTCTTGAACAGCTCGTGAGGAAAGTTTTAAATGGAATAGTTCGTAACATGGTTAAGATAGCTATTGGCAGCGTCCAGTTCTCACAACCTTTACAATGTTTCGACAAAAGCTTGTGAACCAAAAGGAAGAGGGAAATCACTGAGTCTAATTTTGACCGTTCGACGACACTAGAAGCTTCTCCTTTGCCTACGCCATCGTTACAAAATTTGAGTTAGAGTAGAAATTAGCCACGAGAATGGAAAAGTGGTGTTATGTGACGTACATCGCAGGATAGATGACAAAGATTTCAAAAGCAACGACATTTATGTGCTGGGTACCTCGTGGGGTCCATGCTTGGCATAAACCGCGGAGTTAAAATTGATAGCATGGGAAAGTTGAAAACTTGCATAATCTCAAATAATTCTTTAGCTGACCAATGTGATGTGAAATGAAACCTTGGTAGAGAAAGAAGAGCCAACAATGAAGATGATAATGAAACCAATATTTGAAATTCCCTACAGTGACTTAAAAGTCTGGCAAGATGTTGGGTTTTCTCTGAGAGATAAGTTGTTCAATTAGCTGGATAAGTGATAATGGAATCTTCTCAAATTTAAATGCATAATCTAAAACTCCTTTGAATCTAGATTTAGAGCACTACCTCCTATGAAGAACGCATATCGATTCCAAGGCACAGCTCAAGTAGCAATGAGAAGACAGCATTTTCTCCTTCCTAGGTTAGTTCAATTTGCATGAGCACAGGATCCTCCAGAAAACAGGATGTATACATATCTGCGAAGAAACAAAGCTGGTGCAATCGCAAGTCAAATCCACTACTAGAAACCCTGGCTAGAATTTCATCCATTGCCTGCCCAGGTGCCGTGCAAAATCAGGGAAGGTCATATAATCAGGGAAGGTTCGATAACCAGGAGTAGAGCATCACCTGAAGCTCCATCGCCATCTCCAGGTTGCACTTTCTGAAACAGCTCGAAGGACGTGTAAACAAGGCAGCGAGCAACCATGAGAACCAAGTGTTTTAAAAACACATCACTTCCGCGTGGCTGGTTCTGCTCTTCGCATCTGATCTGGCTGACGGGGTGGATTTAGGGGAGAAGGGACTCCACGATCTGGAAAGCTCCGAAATTTGTGCATGTTGCACAATGCCCACATGTTTCAATCTCTGCAAGCATGGGGCCATTGCTTCTTAGGACTGAGCTCATTTCCAATCACAGCTCCACCTTTGAGGTCATCCCCCTTTCTTGTGCCTTGACCTGACAGTTCACAACGGATTTATCTTACGATGACAGATTAGTCTTTAAAATATTGTAAAGCTATTTTACTTTACAATATTCAATCAACTTGTACCAAATTATAATATCTGGTTTATTTAATTATTTAAGTTTACTTCATTTGTGATTTTTACTTGAAGATTGTATCATTGTATTTTTTTCAAGCAACATTCTATCATGCATTAGCAATTAATGGTCATGAAGTTGTGTTGTTTTTTCGTTTTTTTTCTTCTTCTTTTTCTTTATGTTGATTTAGTATTTTTCTTAATATGCTTTGGCTATTGTTGGGTAAGTTGATATAAGAGGCTTATTGTCCATTTCTATATTAACTTAGTTACAAGCTGTTACAAGAACTTGTAGGAAACAATTTCTACTACTAATGTATTGTAATGGTTGCAGTTGTCACTAGTTCTATTGGTTTCTTTTTTTCTCTGAATATTAACAATTATAACTCTGTGCCAATTAGACAGATTGATAAAGACATTTGATTGGTCTTGTTTTTTTAATCATGTTGCTTTTTAATTAGACTTGAATAAGATTGCATATCATTTGGTTGTATAAATAGAATTTGGAGGGATTTGTTTTGTAGTAAAACTTTGCCTCTTTATGCCATTCTATTTTATTAAGTTTTATGCTAAAAATTCTTCATATACACTAATTTATATACAATAATTGTTGCTACATTGTTACATAACTTGTTTAATTATTATTTTCTAAACTTAAGATATTGTAATAAGTTTAGATTTATTTTTATTTTTATCCAAAGTATAGTTAAATGTAATTATTTTATAATTTAATATGTATTAAAACTTATAATATTATAATTATAAAAAAATTAGATTATACTACTACAAATGTTCTTTTTGACAATTATATTGCAATGGTGTTGATAGCATGACTTGAATAAAACAAATTTAAGCCATTGTTAAGTACACTTTGCTTCATGATTTGGCAAAAAATCCTAGTATGAAATTGGTCAATTCATTAATATTATATATACCTTGTCTATCAATCAAATGTTCATTAATGATTTTAATTTTTTATTTTAAACCATAAAAAATAAAATATATATTTATACAAGTATATATATATATATATATATATATATATATAATCATTATTTTATATATATTTATATATTTTTTATTTTTTTATATATTTATATATTTATACAAGTATATATGTATATAAATTTATATATATATATATAATATCATTATTTTTTATATCAAATTTCTTCTACTATTTTAAATTATTATAAATAAATAAATAAATCCTTATATGCTACAATTTAAGATACACCTTAAATAATTTCATGTAAATTAAATGAAATATTTCTTAATTACGAATTCTATACTTTACAAAGACCAAATATTAATACTCATCAATACTTTAGGATACAAGTGCAACCACTTACAATTTTTTTGAAAAGTCTTTTTGTAAATAATATCATAGTGCTACAATGAAAATAAAATCTAATCTAGAATTTATAAAAGAATATATATAATTGGAAAATTAATCAAGAATATTTTAAGAAATAAAACTACTGGAATGAATATTTTAATTTTAATTTTAATAGTATAATCTAAAATATATACATATAAGTTATACATTAGATAAAAAATTAATTTTAAAAAATGTAAATTAAAAAAATAAATCTTAAGATTATAATTTAATCAATTCAAGAATAAAAAAGTATGTATATTTCTTTTGTGTAATAAACTATTTATAATTAATCTTTTTTTATTTAAATATTCCAAAAGATTTGCCATAAAAATTTCTATGTTCTACTATAAATGAACTTTAATTACAAAAACGACTAATATTATATTTGTAGTCTTTAGATTATCACCAATATATTATAGCAAACGTAAAAATAATCATGTGAAATAACTTATTAATTTCAAAATATCCACAATTGTATTCTTAAGATAGAGATAGTTTTCTTGCCTTAAATATGGATACAAAAGCTTAAGACTAGTAAACATAATAACTCAATAATTTGTAGTAAATGTTTTTTTGGGGATGGAATTTTACAACGGCTCTCCCGACTGACAACTATCTCTACCAGATCCCCATTCATTTTCTTCTTGTTTACTTTTAGAATCTTGAGATCTATCAAATTTCAGCGGTTCAAAACTGGGGAAATGGTTGACATGTGCAACGATGAAGTGTTTGCATATGTCACAAAAAACATGGTTTTACCACACTTGGGAACACCCCAGTTGAAGCAAAATAAAAGGAGAAAGTTTAGACAACGAAGACTTGTGTAGAACCGAATGATAGGATCACCGAGACTAACTTACTCACACCACTGAGGTCGTCTTCTTTGGCAAAGCAGATGTGTAGTAGTGTCCAAGTAGTGCAGAGGTGCCGGAACGGCATTGGATGCAGGACGTAAAGATGGGCCGTCACCCGGGCGCTCTTTCGCCGCTTGTTAGGGGACCCCAGCCTAGGAAACTCAGCCACGCCATCGTCTACACCGACACGAATCCACAATGCAGGTAGGTTCCTTTCTCGGTTACCAAAGCCCGTACAAACAAGTGCTGTTGACTATTGACAAGTTCGTCAACGGTGTCTGTCAGCCCCAGCGTAAATCTGGGACCTCGACTGGTCCACTTTGCAAAAGTCCCCGGGCGCGAGGTTCGCTTGTGCAATTTTGCTGTGAACCCCGACTGTCCGGCGACAGCGTGCAAACCGTGGATTCTGGCTGCATCGGAAGGTAACCCACTTCTGCGATCCAGTCAGTGTGGCGTCGTCCCTCAGCCACCACTGGATCGTCGAGAGGTAAATTTCGCCGGGGGCATTGCTCGCAAAGGGGCTAGATCCGCACGAAGGGAAGCGTAAAACTACCTCAACCTCAGTTCACTTTGGACGCTGTGGCGCAGCGTGGTGGAGGTGATGACTCTGCATTTGTTGCGGGGAACGGTCTTCTGGAAGGGGCTCGTCGAGAGAGGGGTCTCGTGATCCTCAAAAGGCAGACTACATTTGTGTTGTTTTGGAGGGATGCACTCACTGAGCCACCTTCTTCACGCGATTCCCATAATGACAAAAAGAATCCACTGGCAGTCTGTGGGAAAAAACAAGAGTCCAACAATTTACTTGTGTATGCCAGTGCCAGCTCTCCTCGTGCAACTGCTCACGGCACTTTAAATGGCGACTGGGATCTTATACAGATGTCATTCGATAACACCAACTTAATCGCTAATATTGGGTACGCACCTGAGGGTTGACAAACTATCCGACGGCAGGCCTAAGAAGCGTGGTGAAGTGGGCGAGACTCGAAGGTCTGCACTACAAATCGGAGCGTGCTGTGGACGAGACATTCAGAGGATCCTCATCTGCAAGGCGCTCAGGTGGTATTCGCCTTGCGGCAACCTGCCCCTGAGCGCGGTATTGCAGCTCCGTACGCATCGTGCTGACGCCCAGGTGAGACTAGTGTCATACAGCGGCCACTCCTTTGGCGAACGCGAGGGATTTGGGCGGCGTCGGCCACCTGGAGAGAACTGTAGCAGGTGGACCGGCACACACCTCAGCGAGCAGCTCTAGTTGAGGCGTTCGCGAAGTGATCCGTCAGAAAGTCAAAATGCGCCTCCTCGTGGAGCTTGTGGGATTGGCCGTGCTTGTGCAACTGCTCGTGTCAAGCCCTGTTCCGGTTGCTAGTCAGCCTGGCAGCTGGAAGGTGCTGCAAAAAAACGCTGGGATCGCCTCCATGCATTCTGCGGTCACTCGATTCGATACGTGTGTGCTGCTCGACCGGACCAACATTGGCCCGTCAGGAATAAAGTTGCCCGGCGGACGATGCCGCAACCAGCCCAAGGAACGCGTTTCCAAGACCGATTGCTACGCCCACTCCGTCATGCTCAACCCTGCCAACGGTGCCGTTCGGGCTCTGTATATCTACACTGACACGTGGTGCTCATCGGGGCAGTTCATGGGTAACGGAGTGCTGGTGCAGACAGGAGGGGACTTCGAAGGCAACAAGAAGATCCGAACGCTGTCGCCCTGCGGCGCCGGAGGGAACTGTGACTGGGTGGAGACAGACCGGGAGCTGAGCAAGGGGCGGTGGTATGCATCCAACCACATACTGCCTGGAGGTGTTCGGCAGATCGTGGTGGGGGGGCGGAATGAGCCCACATACGAGTTTGTGCCGAAGAGGAAAGCCGGCGAGACAGTGTTCTCATTGGCACTGCTGCGTGGGACATGCTGCGACAATCTGTACCCGTTCGTGTTCTTGATGCCCAATGGCGACCTTTTCGTGTTCGCCAACCAAGACTCGGTGATTCTCAACATCGGTTCAGGTAAGGTGGTCCGACAGCTACCGAAATGTCCTGGAAATCCTCGAAACTATCCATCGGGAGGATCCGCAGCCATGCTTCCCCTGAAGGCACCGTTTCAGTCCGTGGAGATATTGGTTTGCGGAGGTGCTGCAACAGGTGCAGCCAAATCTGGGGACAAGGCAAAGCCCGCGTCTACGAACTGTGGAAGGATCAACCCGACAGCCGGGAACGCGAGATGGGTGATGGAGAACATGCCAATGCGTCGTGTGATGGGTGACATGGTCAGCATGCCGACGGGAGAGATCCTGATCATCAACGGAGCGGCGAACGGGTACCAGGGGTGGGGAACTGCAAGCAATCCTGTCCTACAGCCAGTGAAGTACGACGGGGACGCGAATGCCGGGAAGAGGTTCCAGACGCAGAAGGCCACCAATATTCCCAGGATGTATCACAGCACAGCCAACATGCTGGCAGACGGGAGTGTGCTGGTGGCTGGAAGCAACACTCACCAGTTCTACACGTACACTGGACCTTTTCCGACGGAGCTTCGCGTGGAAGCATTTTCTCCGGATTACCTGTCTGCGAGGCAAGCCTTGTGGAAATCGAGTATTTTTATTATGTATTTATATGTGAATATTTTTCTTTTCTTTTGTCTTTTTTCTTTGTGACCAACCACCTTCGGTTCCATGAGGCGTGTGCGTATTCGGTTCTGAGTCAACCATCCTGCATGCTAACGCTGTGGTGTGTCTGGGTTTGCAGAAACAACGCCGTCCGTCCCCGCATAACTCAGTATCCAAGAGTTATGAAATACCAGCAAGCCTATGATGTTACGTTTGTTGTAAATACGAGACGAGGTGTAGTGGCGGTGAATCTACTGAGCGCTCCTTTCGCGACCCACAATTTCTTGCAAGGGCAGAGGGCTATCAAGCTGACGGTCGCAGTTCCTAGGCAGGCGTCTGGAGGAGCATGGGCTGTGAGGACAACTGCTCCCCCCAGCGCGAACGTCTGCCCCCAGCAATATTACATGATGTTCTGTCTGCAAGCGGGTGTTCCTGGGAGGGCCGTATGGATAAAAATGGAATAATTGGGGGCGTTTCGTGTGAAGGTTGCGTACAACAAAGCATTTATTGATGAGTAGGAAATTTCTTATTTAAGCTATTTAGTTTTTCTTACGCCTGCGGATGGAAGATATGATTCGGTTCCAGTATTGATTAGCATGTGGAATCAGGATACTGCTCCAACTTTAACCGTGGCTGTGAGGCGTTAGCTATTCACGACGTATTAACTCGCGGGGCTTCTCTCGGAACATGCCCTTATCTGTTCGTAGCATCCTGCGAAATGTAGTGGGATCCTCACTGTCCAGGGTGTCATGAGTGAGTAGTATTCTGGGTCTCATCAGATTCCCGATCCTAGATATCGAAGTGCTCCAAATTGGTGGTCTGTATCGCGTGTGCATTTGTGCTATATAAGGAGCCGCTTAGGAACATGGCCAACCCAAGGTTAGGACTACCTTAAATGGTTTATTTTTTACAACAATCTTTTGTCACAAGCATATAGGTATAGAAGACTCATTCATTGATACTACTCCTGGACTCGAACTGCACTACTTTGTGGTGCATTTGAACGCAAATAAAACAAACTTTACTGGAATCGGGTCTTTTGCGCTTATGCTCCGTCTGTGCGTTGGAGCTTTCAGTAACTTGTTTGCCATTGCATACTCGGAATACATTTGCTTTATCTGTTTTGTTGTGAGGTTTGCATTAAAGGATGAGTTTAGCAGATAAGTTTGTTGAACTTTTGTAGCCGAGACTATTAACACATGACTCTAATGAATCTTCTTCAGCTCTTCTGTAGTGAAGTGCACCTTTTGGATATACTGTCTTGAATCTCAGCAGATTCATACACGTTCTGTCACTGGTGCGTTCGCTTGAAGGACCAGGCAGGGAATATATGATTTTGGTTGCAGAACTCGAAACCTGGTGCATATTTAGCACATCCGAGGGGGTTTTATCAGATTTGCGGCAAAATTGGGGCATGGATAATGTGTGGCAGTCAATCTCATTCTTAGCGTTTATTCTTTACTTATTTATTTTATCCTTTTTGACACGAGAACGGATAAAAGAACAAGACCACTTTGTCTCTAATACCGAATGTTAAGGTGAGGGCAGGAGTAGAAGAATGAGTTACGATACAGAATACGATATAAATGACTTACAACTTATGTGTCAATTTTTCTGTCTGATGTGGGGTGATAAGTCCAATTGTTTAGAGGTCAACAGTGGTGAATCTATTTGTTTGAGTGGATTGTTATCACTTCTCTAGCTTATAATGTTTTTACAGACATCCAACACTTATTCTATCATGTTAAAATTGAATGATTTTAAAAGTATTGTTTTTATATTATCCTGTGCATTATCTTAAAAAAGATTCTGAGTCTATGTTTTAGAATATTATATGAAAAGATGCCATTTTATTTACCTTTTTCTATTTTATATGTTATATGACTGTGATGCCACTTAGTAAATATTTGTTACTGAGACCAAAATGTGTTTGTTGTGTTTAAATAAAGCAAATGAATTTTTTTCAAAACAATATTAACAATATTCTTAGTGTATTTTTTTAGTTTGGAACAAATTTTTATTAAAAAAATAGCTTTTATCTTTAGAAAATCCTGTAATGGTCTTTATTTTCATAGATAAGATGTATTTTTATGGAAGGAGAATGTAATCCAATCCCATAGTTTGTTTGCTTACATTATTTCTCAAAACTTTAGGAGCATTATATTTTATCATTAAGGAATAGAAAATATGCTATGGGAAGATGTATTTGGAATTGTATGTATCATCCAAGCATAAACTACTATCTTTTTATGCCAAATTTATCAAAATAAAATGGCTTTTGTCTTAAATTTTAGATTGATCCTAATTTTAATAAGAGATTGTTTAATAAATAAACTAAAAAATTTTCATGGTCTTAACTTACTATATCCATTAAATTAAGTATATTTTAAAGTATCTTCTTTAGAAAAATCTTTATATCAATGTTTAGCTTTATAAACAGCTTGTATTACTTTAATAATGGCCAAGAAATATTTTATTCTTTTCTTGAATTAATTTTACTAGAGTTTTTTTTAATTAAGATTAGTATTTGTTTAAGAAGCTTAAAATCAAAATTAAGATACTCTAAAAATTATTTCTAATATATATATAGGTGTAGTTATAGAATATAATTTGTAACAACAAATTTCTTATTTGTAACTATTCAAGTTTCACTTTCAAGAACAAAAACAATGATAAAAATTATTGCTCTTGAGATTTTTAATGCTTTAGATGTCCAAATTTATTATCAAAAAGTTACAAACTAAGTCTAATAATAAATATGAGTACAAAATTCTAAAATAAACAAACTTTATATATTAATATAAGTTCTATTAATAGATTTTAATTGGCAAAATTAAAACTAATATTTATATTGGCCCTATGTGTACATATTTTACTTATTAAATAATTATAAATATTAGTTAGTAGATAGAAGAAGCATAAAAAAGAACATTATGTTTTTTTATTATTTATATAAAAAATAAGATTTTTAGTTGATTCAAATTAATTTATTACTTTAAAAATTATCAAGATAGAAAAAAATAGTTTTAAATTAGTATTAATATTTAAAAATATTATAGAGATTTTAAAGTTTTATTTAGAGTTTATTTAGAATTTTTAAAGAATTTTAGAACATATACTCAAGGCTTTGAAAAGAATGATTTTTTTTATCTAAGACGCCATTATGAAGAACTACAGTAAGATTTAAAGGCCTTCTAAGATTTTTCTACTAATTGGATATTTTTAAATTATATAGTGAAGTTAAAAATATAAAAATATTTTTTATTAATGAAAAATAGGAAGATAAGTAGCTAATATAATAGTTGTAAAAAGAAAGGTACACAAGTCTCATATAGGTTGGACACTTTGGATGTTGGTAGGGATATAAGGCTAAGACCTTGTGACTTTAATATAATATCTATATATAATAGTTGTGAGCTATAGTAAGGCTCAAATCCTTAATCTCTCAAGCAAATTATCCTTAAAATAAAACTTATTTACTAAAAATTTTATATTTTTTTAATTTTTGTTTTCAAACATTCATAACTTATTCATAATAATTTGAATTCTTATATTTCTTATGTCATTTAAAAGATAATAAAATCATCTATCTAAAAATATTTTTAAAATTTTATTTTTAATTAGGAAAAAATCCAATGAATAAAGTATGAATAATTTTTAAAATAAATAATCGATTTATTGCATTTCTTTTAGTTTTTTTGTATTTTTTTCTTATTAATTATATCTCTCAATTTAGAAAATTAATTAAAAAAAACTTTTAATTGGAGCTATTTTTTAATTTAGGTTGAAGGATGAATTTTACTTTTACAATAAGCTTTTAGATAGTCTTAGTTCTCTTGATCTTATCCTCCAAAGTTATGTATTTAATTGATAAATTTAATTAAGAGGCAATAGATCTTTTGTTACAAAAACCAATGCTCTTAATATGTTTTAGTTTCAAAGATATCAAGTTTTATTTTTAAAAAAATTAAACTTCACTAATTCTTTAAAAATAGCTAATTTTATTATCATTTTATAAATAATCAAGTATAGCCTTTTAAAATAGAGCTTTTGGATTTTTAAAATAATAAACCTTCTTTCACTAAATTAGATGCGGCATTATTATCAAAATTCTAAATCCTACTATTATAATATCCACAAAAGTGTAAAAAAAATTTCTTTCATTATTTTAATTATTAAAATATTTTTAAAAAAAATTAAGGGGAAAAAATAATGAAACTAAAGCTACTTAAAACAGTTTTAAAAAAAATTAAGCATTGCTTTGTTTATACAAAAATAAAAAACATTCAACTACATGAATACATAGACATTGTTATACTACTTCTCTAAAATTTCAAGGCGGTTGATGCATCTCTGTATTTGAATTATAAGTAATTTAAAATAAGACCTATGATGTCACAGACATATATATTTACCTAAATAAGAAGTGTTAGGTAGAAGATAAATGTAGGTAGAGTTGATATTATCTTATGGCAAAGTTTCTTACAAGCTTCATAAATGTGTTCTTAACTTTATATATGCTTATAATTGATTGATAGGTTGGAAACTTGGCCAATAAGTTAGCCTTATGTTGCATATATAGGTAGCTTATGGTACAAGCTAAGAATGTAGATCATATATGAAAAACTTGTCTTGTAATTTAAAACATGTATCTTGCAAATTGGACATCTATTAGAGGTCATATAGAACATTGTTATGTATCTCCTAATTAGATAATATATATAGATGGAAGAGTGAAGCCGTTTTCACTCTTGTCTTAGCCTTTTTAGTCTTTAATCTTATTTAAAGACTTTATAGTCTTCTTATCTTTGATAATAGCTATTCTAATTTAATATTATACCATTTTGAAGTGATTCTCTAGACTTTTTGAGTGATATAAGAATATATTGGTTTTTTAATTTTTTAAGATTCATATCTTTAACAATTTGACAAGAGTGTTAACTTGTTGTTCTTGTTTTATTTTAGAAGCGAGTAGATTATCTTACTTCTATTATTTTATTTTAAAGGTTATAAAGTACATGCTTTTAAATCAACTTTTAATTTTTTAAATATTGATTGTTTGCTTTAAAGAAACTAGACTATCTCTCTTTGCACAAATATTTATTTGATATCAGAAGTTATAAATTACCTTCTTCTAATTTGACTCGTGAACTTATTTGAGTCATCTATAGAAAAAAAAATTATGGATGCTATTTACAATGGAAGTAAAAATAGATTTGCAACTATTAAAAATCTTCATAAGTTTGTCAATATTCTTAGGGTCAAAATCTCATGTATTTTTAACATAAATAATAGAGGTATTATTTCTATATCTATAGAAGGAGTTAACAATGAAGTTTAGACTCTATCCCAAGAAGTTGTGCAATTAAGAAAAGCAAGTAGATTAAGTGTACAATTGAATATAAAAAGCTTTATTTCTACAATCATGAAGGAAACAATGATAAGCATGCTAGAGAAGTTTAAGGGAATAAGATCTAAATTTTAAAGATTTCTACAATAAGTGAAGTTCTTTCTAAGGTTGCATCCTTTTCAATATCATGTCAGATTTACTCAAGTTAGATTCATTGGTACACTTTTATTTGAAAGTACTCTCTTTTGATTTTTTCTTTTCATAGAAAATGATTCACGACTCTTTTATAATCTAAATTCATTTTTAGAAGTCCTTACAGCTACATTTGGAAAAAATGATTAAGAAAAGATAATAAAGATCAAACTTTTATTTTAATAAAAAAGATCACATTCAATCTATTTCATTGATCGTCATCCTTTATATTGATGATTTGATCATCTTAACTAATATCTTGAAGATGATGGATTGATTGAATGCAAAATTAAAAAAAAAAATGTGCAATGGGTGATTTGAAAGAATTTTATTATTGTTAAGAAGTGGAGTTTGTAAGAGATTGTGCTAACAAGACCATTACAATGAACTATAGTACGTATATTAAAGAGGTATTAAAACAATTCATTATTAAGGAGTGTAAGCCTATTCGAACACCTTTAGAAGCCAATTTGAAGTTGATGAAGCTC